GTGCCACAAATCGCTCTTTAGCAAAACCAAGAAACAAGAGGGTCAGAAGAATTCTACTTTTTTATCAAATCAGTCATTTTAAAATCTGCACACGGATACTTTTTTCAATTACGGTTTGTTTTGGGAGTCAAACTGGGCCGCGTGCGTCGGCCACAGACGGAGCCGCTAGTGTGACGCAATCCGACTCCCATCGGTAAACAATAAAACTATTGAGAGGCGAAGAACGGCGGAAAGAAAAGGAGCGATCGGCATTTGAAAAGAAACGAGGACAGAACGTTTGTCTTCTGTTGGAAAAAGAGAACGTTTGGAGAAATCTGATCTGCTCAATTCACGCATTTGTGTGTGTGTGTGTGTGCGCGCGCATCAACTGAAGCTCACCTCGCACGTCGCTCCGTTCCGACATTGACCCCGACAGTCGTTGATATCTGCAGGAACGTTATAGATCATTTTAAATAAAAGCGCACACAAAAAACGATTTTCAAAAGCAAGCACTTCAATAACAACAGAGGTTATTGTCTTCGCTGCTGCTCACGCGTGGGGACATCGTCGTCGTCCCCCCGCGCGTCTCACTCACTGGCGTCACAGTTCCGGCCCGTCCAGCCCGGGACGCACTCGCAGAAGTAGCCTCCGATCAGATTGCGGCAGGAGTTGGCGTTGGCGCACGGGTCCTCGTCACATTCGTTGGCATCTGAGACGAAAGAAAGAAGAACAAGCGGGTCAGAGGCGTCCACGGATGTTTATTTAGATGTTGCTCTTTTGCTCAATGCTGCATAACGTTTGAACTTTAACCATAGTTGTTTTTAGGATTGCTTGACAGCGCTGGAAACACTGCAATAATATCGTGTCACAGTCAGCGGGGCCCTTAAAGCGCAGTGACTGTGTGCGTTTCAACAGGAAACCACAAACTTTCTCAGGGTAAAACACAACGGAGACGTAATGCAGAAGACTTTATTATATAGAGATGAGACATGCTCAATAGGAGGGATGGAAAGTTCTAATAAAAAATAAATTGGGGCATGCGTTGATTGTGAAAAGACACAATCCTAAAGGTTTAAATTACAAGGATATCCATTCCAGTACATTAGGATGGACTTCATGGACGTGAATGAGTGTAAATAAAAGGAATCCTGTCTCAGTGGTAGAAATGGAATCACGGTTCAGCCAAGTTAGAGAATTTGGCATCGTCACGGTTCATTTTGATCTCGATGGCTGGAAAGCCGTTTGTGGGTGCCGTCTAACACTTGGTGTTGGAGGAATACTGTAGCGACGGGTAGATGCTACAATGACCAAACCATTGCTAGTGCACCAAGAGGATTCTCAAAGGACGATGAGAATCAGGGGAAGCTACAGCATGCTGGGTGGGTTTGGGGGGGGGGGTCACCTCGATTCCTCACCTAATTGAGTGGAGGCTTCTTTGAATGAAATTCTGACACCAGTTTATGAAACAATAATGATTTATTAGTCAAAAAAGAAGGATAAAAAGTGATTATATAATGAATAAAAGTATTATCTGTATTGGCAATAACAGTAGACGGAATGTTATAAGATATTTACTTTTTCTTTTCTCTGATTTTATACTTTGAGACACATAAAAAGTTGTCATCCAGGTGACATTTTAGCTTCCTTTTATATTTTTAAATTTATGCAAACATTCAATTACAGTTTAGTAAATTTTACCTTTTTAATTAGTAGTTATACTTGTTGGAATAACTGCAGTAATATTGAGTCATAGTCCACGAGGCTCTCTATATATTTGAGCAGCTTTGACACATTACACTTGTATATACACATATATATACACATATATATATATATATATATATATATATATATATATATATTATATTATACGTTGTCAGTTCTGGTTCTGACTTGAGGAGGAGGACCCACCGATGAGGCAGGTCTTCCCGGTCCACTGAGGCGGACAGGTGCACCTGAAACCGTTGACCAGGTCCTCACAGGTCCCTCCGTGGCTGCAGGGGTTCACCAGGCACTCGTCCACGTCTGAGACGGACAGAGGGTCAAAAAAAACAAAGTTCAAGGAGGTCTGGTGCAGTATCGAGCATTTGGGGAGCAGAGAGGGGGGCGGGGGGGGGGGGGGGGGTCTTACTGTTGGGAGAGGAGGGCTCCGTCCACCCGGGGGCACAGAGACACTCCAAGCCCTGACTGGTCTCCACACAGCTTCCTCCGCTCAGGCAGGGGTTGGACAGACAGGCGTGGTCCGCTGAGACAGACGGACACGCAGTGATAAAAAGGCTGAATTAAGGTAAATCTGTCTGTACATATCGTGTCTGTATTTCATCACACGATGAAGTATCAAGCTTCTGTTCACACTGTAACCATGGAGACGGACAACAATCAACAAGAAAAGTCTGAATCCGCCAATTAGGTTTTCACAATTCGCTTTGTCGTATTATTGCGTGACACGAATAGTATGAATCAAGACAAATGGACAAATATAGAATGTAATTCTCATTCAAATATAAATCTATTCAACAGAGCTGAATTAAAAATCTAACTGGAAAATGAACGTGATTGTCACAGACTGTCATGAAGAATCGAAGTGATAAAATGTGAAACGCTGATTCTCTGAGGAGCAAACAGAATATCATAAGCAATTATTTTGTGTTGTTCATCTCTTCGCTCCTCTCACCTTTCTGACAGCTGACCCCCGAGAAGCCGTCGGGGCAGGAGCAGTGGTATTTGTCGGGTCCCGTGTTGCTGCAGGTTCCTCCGTTCACACACGGCTGCAGCGTCGCACACGTGTTCAGATCTGCATGTTTGTGATCCCCCAAAACAAAACGTTGTCTTTCATCCGCTCATTTTTACTTCAAATAGGCACAGAAACTGTGTGGAAAACGCCGCTTCTCCAAAGACGTCCGTGCTTCTGTGTGTGCATGTGTGTGTGTGTGTGTGTGTGTGCGCGCGTACCTTTGTCGCACAGCTGTCCTCCGTAGTTGGTGTCGCAGAGACACTGCCACGGCTCAACACAGCTGCCGTGCACGCAGCCGGGGTGAGGGATGCACTGATCGCAGTACTCGCCCTTCCAGCCGTACAGACACCTGCCAGATCACAATACGGTTCAGTATGTGTGACTTCAAACATACAAATGAGACCATTGTTTCGTTTACTTTTTAACAAATAGAAAAATAAAAATTCTAAAATGTGTACTGGAAACGTTTTGTCACTTGACAATTGACCAGAAGCTAGAAATAAATAAATAAAAGAATAACTAGTGAGTAATCAGGAATGAAATAACTGCTGAAACGCTGTCCCTTTGTCCCCACGGTTGCTCTCTAATTGAGACGAGAGAGCAGAAGCGGGTTTGTTGTGCGTGCTGCTTCTCACCTGCACTCTCCAGGAGCGATGCAGTTCCCGTGTGCCGTGTTGCAGCCCTGCCGGCAGATCGCTGCACAGAGACCGAGAGAAGGAAAATGAGGGCGCGCGCCGATGTCTCAGAAGACCAAAGAAAAACTAAAAAAAACAAGCCCAGAAACAGACTTCCGGCTACTAAAGATTAAGAGAAAATGCTCAGTTTTGTCCAATTTTGTCCCAATATTTGGCCTTCATACGTGAATTTTAAAAGATGAACGCAGGAAACACACCTCTGTTCAAAAGGAATGTATAGAAACATAGACTTAATGTGCTGAAACCGCTCGGCTCCCTTTCGTCGACCAGAACTCACCGGTGTTGCAGTCCGGACCGGCCCAGCCCTCCAGGCACGTCTTGTTGCCGTTGTGGTCGCACTCGTAGTGGCCGAAGAAGTCGTCCCGCGGGCGGCAGAACTTGTTGCAGCCGAAGCCGTAGTAGTGCTCGTCGCAGCCGAGGCGGACCTGGAAGTGGAACTGGGCCACGGGGCCGTTGTGCTTCAGGCTCTGCCACCGCCGGCTGGGGTTGATCATCCCCGAGTGGACGGCCTTCTCGATCAGCGCCGCCCCGCCGAGGCCTGCGCGCACAGCGGTTCGGATCAGTCGGAGCGACAGAAGAGGTAGGCAGGGTCACTATGCGGCCCGTTGTGATCCAAACGCACCGCCGTTTAGCAAATGAACGTCATGCTGGATCAATGAAGACTTTGAAACTAGAGGTTGAGACCATAAACTTTTGTTTACAATGTTTCCTGAAGTGAGAAGTTGAGTCATTTTCTCATAGACTTCCATACAAATCAGACGTCATGTGTTTCCCACCGATGGCCATTAAAAAGAATGAGGCACTTCCTTACAGACCACATAGGCTGCTGCAATAATAACAAAAAGAAAATGAAACGAAGAAAACATCCATTTGCTTCTAGATTTTGATTGACAGCCATTGTAATCACAAGATTGTGCAGAAGAAAGATTTGTCTGGGAAAGATGGAACCAAAACATAAATATAAAAATGGTCGCGATAGTTTCAAATAGCCGGAGCTAGTTTTGTCCGTCAATTGAAGTCAATTCATCATCACACAAGACGAAGAACTTTTAAATGAATTCTAGATTGTTAGTCATTGAGCCTCGTCCTCGGCAGCTGGACAAACGCGGTACAGTAACGGCGCTCCGCTGGTGCATTTGGGAGGACGGTGGTAGTTGTAGCCGCTGTAATATTCCAGAGAGTTAGAAAATGCCGAGCCGCTCTGTGGTATTTCACCGGCTGGGTGGAAAGTGTGGTCGGGCCGAGGTGACGGCGTCTGTTTAAACGGCGAGCGACCGGACTCAAAGGGCCGAAGAGAGACTCCAGGAACCTCGCAGCAGGTAACACCGTCGGCCTGGAAGCAAACTGTGACACTTCACATCGCGATGTGGGCTGAAAAAAGTGCCAAAAATGGCACGGAGGTAGCAGATTTAAAAAATAGACACCGTAAAAAAAAAAAGAAAAAATAAAGGCCGGATCCGTTCTGTCCAAAAAATCTGGGTAAATATTCAAACTTGGCACTTTATCGATGAATACCGGCCCGACAGCTGCACCTGGCCAAAGAAAAACCCACTGACAAGTTTGGTTTTACTTCGCTTTTGTTTCGCAAACGGAAGAGATTGAGTTGGTGAGTTCAATTAATAAATAAAAAAACATTATTGTCTCTCTTTTAGCTCCGTTTTTGGTCTCCACCATCGCCTCAGGCAGGTGGAGTCACAGGCCGATGCAGGAGTTCATTAAAAGCCGCCTGTCGGAGGCACTTAGCTTGTTGATGCTAAACTGAGAGGGTCAATATTTGTCCTTTGCTCATTTGGTTTGGAAACAGACTCGGTTTTGTTTTCCAAAACACAAAAACAACACCAGAGTATCATTGAATCTACGGCTGGGCGACGCGGGGAGAATGAAATACCGGCACGTTTGAGCAGATACCTCAATGTCATAAAGTGCGACGGTATTATCGGGTTGAATACGGTGACTTCACAAAAAATTCACACAGTGAGCAGTAAGGATAAAAACACTGAGCGGGCGAAGGCAGCGAACAGAAGAGCTCACAGAAGGACATCAGTGGGCTGTAATGTGGCTTTTCTAAACCAGGAAAAGGCCAAACTGAAAATACATCTAAAATCCCAGACGTTAATCGTGTCCAGATGTTGATGAACATTAACACGATTCCCTGCTCGAATAGTATACATCACTTGACTACTTGAATACTTGACCAACGAGACAGGTCACGGTCCACCTTTTGGAGGACAACTGCCCGAAGTGAAGCCCACCTGGGCCGAGGTCAGCCGACTTCACACCGGGCCTATAATGGCTCCCTGAGGGACGCCAAATACAGCACCGAGCCAACACTCTCTCTCAGGCCGCCTCGCCGAGCGCTGCGTGATGAACAGACGTTCAAACTCTCTCCTCACACAGTCTTTACAACCAGTTTCGTGAATGGGACGTGTAAACACCTCCACAGGCTGCTGTAGTAAGAGGGGGGGGGGCACAGCAACACGCACAGAGGGAACTCCAGAACAACGTTCATTCTGAGGCAGAACGTTTAATTAACGCTTAATGCAATCTCGTGTATTCTGTGTCTCATATTTAATGGAACATGTGCTGAAAAGTTTTTCAAAATGACATGAAGTCTTTTTACAGCGAGATCTGTGTTACAAAGTTCAGTACCTTTTAAAATGTCCAAACATAAGATTCTATTATTTATGGTTTACGGTCGCGTTCACGTCAGTGAGAAACCGAGCAGGGAGGAGTGACGCAGGATGAAGAGGAAGAGGAGGATACTCACTGCCGGAGGACGAGTCGTTGTTGAAGTCCAAGGCTTCCACGATCAACGTGTACGACCTCTGCAAAAAAAGACAGAGGAAAAGAGTCATGAATTAACCACACAATTTACGTATTTAAAGTATTCTATTTAATGTGACATCTGGCTCTGAAATAAAAGTTTAATTGTATCGCGTGAAAACAAAACTCTGCTTCTTTATTCGTTTGATTACTCTTTATAACCTGACATTTTAAAAACATCACTTTTATAAAGGTTTTGGACCAAAATATGATTCATGAAAAACTAACAATGACTGCGACATTCACATAAGATTTAGAGCAGATGTAAACAAAAACACGAGAAGAAGCTCAGATAAACGATCACTGAACACCCAACGAAACAAAGTAACTTTAAGGAGCATTGACGGATCAAATCAATGAGAAATACTAGAAACTAAATTCACAGGCGTCACTGAAACACCCCGAGGCCTCTAAATAGAGACACACAGTGTGTGTGTGTGTGTGTGTGTGCGTGTGTGTGTCAGTCCCATTATTTCGGCTCCACTTTGAAATCCTTTGTCCGTCTTAAGGCCACTGTCGCTCTCACCGCTATCGAATGACCGACGGACCAGAGCCTGCCAGAGAGAGTGTGTGTGTGTGTGTGTGTGTGTGTGTGAGACTCTCTCTCTCTTTCTCTCTCTCCAATATTCACACCATCCAAATGTGGAGTCAACAAGACTTCAAAATAAGACTGACTGACGAGTGTGTGTGAGTGTGTGGGCTCCTTGACGACACGTTGTACAGCTCTAAAACGCTCTTCATCACATTTAGGTTTCGGTCTAAGGAAAATGTTGAGGGTAATGATTGGGTCCTCCTGAGTAAAGGATAACATTGCTGTGTGTTTGGGATTTGCCAGGTGCAATATGCCCGAACCTCCACCTCAGTGGTCCCGGATCCTTCGGCCCACATTTGTGGAACCCTGCGGCTGTCCGGCCTCCTTCTCCGGCTATTTCACAAGGGGCGAAGGATTTTGACAATTTTACTATTAAAATAAGTGTTCAGTGAGTCATGCAAGTCCATGAGAAGAGCTGCAAAGTGTCCTCGCCGCTGAGAGGACGGAGGTCTACAATGAGCTGATGTGACACTTCAATGAGTTCGGTCCCTCCAGTTAAAGGTCGGAATCAAAATTTAAAGTTAATCAAACTCACACAACAATTAAAGTTTGAGCAAGTCGGGTTAAGTGTAAGTTACAACTCTGTTACCGCGTAAAATCAAAAAAAAAAAATCTATATCTGTAAAAAAAACTCCTTAATGGTTCCACACGGAGCGCCTCGTCTCCACAGAGCCGTTTATCCCGACGCCACATTACTGTCAATAAGGCGGAACCGAGCCGGCGCGCAGAAAGCCGTGACCAAAAAAAAAAACCTTCCGAGGAGCTCTTGCATCATCCTTGCGTCACCTCTCGGGGTGAAACGGGATCTGGGCCTCGGAGGCCGACGCCTTAATGACCACGCTGGGGAAAAAAGAAAAAAAGTACGACCCGTCGCCCTCCAAACGCACAATGGGTGGCACCTGAAAACGTTCTAGCAGCTCATTCGATTCCAAGAGGGAAGCTGGGGACACGAAGCCTACGGCCGGGTACCCGCCGACAGGGTCCCGCCGACGGGGTCCCGCTCACCTCCTGCCAAAAAAAACATCCAGCAGCGTGCGTCCGCCGGGGAGTTCCCATCACTCCCACTCTCTGTCTGTGACTGTTTGATGGAGGAGGTGGAACGGCGTTCTCTGGCTTCGGGCTCGGTGTGGGAAAATAGTTTAGTTAGCGTTTATGTTTTGTTGGGCCGTGGCGTCGACGCCGGATGGCGACGCGGGGAGAGGACTATGCAGGTGGGGCGGCGTCTTCTCCCAGTAAGAAGCCCTGAGGAGACTGTGAAGCTGGAACTAACAATTTAATTTCGTTCTATAAGACCGTACACGTCATTGTTGCCTTTTGAAGAAGTTCTCCATCCGCGAGTTGTGTTTTTAGACATGATGTTAGTGGCAGAGGCCTGTCAATCACACTAAGCCCCGCCCCATAGCATGCTCTGCTTTATGGTGTATTTGACTCTAAATGGACCACAATTCACTAAATGAACATTATGCTGTATTGAAGAAGAATTGCAACAACAGATTGAGACCATAAACTCGTTTTTACAACGTTAACTGAGGCAATAAATCAAGAGAGAAGTTGAGCCATTTTCACATTGACTTCTATACAATGTGAAATGTTTTGCGACCGGAGGACCGGTTGAGATACAAAGTGTAAAACATTAAAAATGCTGAAAAACCTCCCAAAAGAGAAGCGATCCGCGTTAATGACGCTGTGACGCTGTGTGAAGAAACATTAAGTTTAAATTGAACTATTTGAGCAGCTCTAGCTAGCTTGTTGCTAACCTTGTGGAGCGTTCATGCTACAGATGCATTTGGGAGAAGTTGTCCTTCATAGTTTTGTACAGAAAAGGTTTTGTTTATGTATACCTACCTAAGTAGCTACGTTTCCTGGAATTAAGGAGATTACCGAAGAAAAAGGCAAAACGTCTCCCATGTTCATATAAAAAGCCCCACAAGAACTGCCGGGCTGGTCGACACTACTTTAACATTTAGCCGCCCAAACGCACGCTTTCCATTGTGGCGGTTGACTGACAAACATGAGTGAAGTCCAGTTTACATGCCTGGCTGGGACATGCGTATGCTAGCGATTAGCATCAGCGATTCACAGGGTAATCAAGGGTAACGTTTACCCTTCACTAATGCTCCCCTCTACACGGACTACACAGCGGTAATGTGTAAAATGCCACAACCTGGAGCAGAAATATCCATTTACATTCATTGGTTTCTTATTCTCTCGTTAAAACAAGCCGGGTTGAGGCATCGCCGTGGCCGCTTGTCTCTTCTTGGAGCGGCCTGATCAGCTCACATTAAAGAAGATCAACAAGCCCGGCATGTTGAACAAATGTTAATAATTCACCAGGGAAGTCAAGCCGGAGCTCAACCTCTCAATGCTTCCTTTTACTATGTAAATGATCACTGAACTGGGTCAGTTCGGAGGCAAACGGCACATCCGAAGAGGACAGAGGGACGTGTCCTGTCACCCTTTGCGGATGAAACCAAAAGGTTCAAACTCGAGCCGAAAGGAAAATCTCAGCATATCTGTTTTACAGCTGATCTGTTAAATCAATGTATGGATCTTATTTCTAGTAGGTTCATGACTGCTAATGATAATCACTGATTATTCTTAGCAGATGACTTGTTCCTCAGAGGATAAACTCTTTTAGATGTTCAAGACCGCTATAAAAGCTCCCGCCCGGCACACATTAAACCGCACGATGACTGAATATGGTATAAATAATAATGCAACTAGTGGAGTGAAATGAAGAATTGAAAAAAGTGTGTGTGGGTGGGGGGGTCAACGCGACCACAAACTTTTCTCTGGTTACGGTTTTTCCAAAACACCCCCCCGACCCCCGTCTCACTGACGCTGGACACATTGTTCCTCCATCAGCCCCCCCGTTCCCATCCCTGTGCTCCCAGCATTGTCCCATCAGCCCCGGCTGCAGTCCGGCCCCGGCCGTGCCCGCTGTTCCCATAGCAACGCAAGAAAAGGCAGAGAGGAAGAAAAAGGATGAAGTAAAAAAAAAAAAAAAGGGGGGGGGGAAAGTCAGCAGGAAAGAAAGTGTTAAAAGAAAGAAAACACGTGCACGTAAACTACTGAGAAGAAACAGGAGGAGGAGGGTGGATGAACCATTGGTGGGGTCTCGGTAAAATGCCGCAGGTTTGGCACATGTTGGGTCGCCATCACAGCTCCAATAAACACGACTGACGCACACAGAGACGGCGTTTGTGTCGCCGCTCCACTTCAGATTGTGAGGACAGCAACGAAAAAGGAAAAAGGGGAAAAAGGCAACAGCAACAAGAAGAAGTCCCTCATCCCGAACGAGGCGGCTTCATTTAACATACCAGTTACCAGGGTCAACAGCAGGAATGTCCTGCAGCCACCCGAGCAGAGCCGGCAAACAACGGCCCTTTATCCCCCCCCACAACCACCCCTCCGCCCCCCGCCGAGAGGTCAGGGGAGATAACTACCACAACAACGCACCAGAGGGAGAAAGGAGAAACAAGCCCGCCGGGCTCTTCTCGTGCCGGCGCCTCGGTTTCTAGTTCCACGTGAGCTCATAAAAAACACGAGGCCCCGGCGTCCGCGCAGCGCCACGAGGGACGTGGGGACCCCACGGAGCCCGACGGCGTGGCCGCTCTGCAAAATAACCGAGGAGCTGATAACGGCCTCGGTCCGACCCGGCAGACTTATGACACAAACCGACAAACACAACTAGAGGGCAGATTTTCAGCTTGAAATGATGTGTGTGGTTTTGTTTCGTCGATGGTTGGTTATGTGACTGGATTACTTGGAAGAGCGAGTGTCTGATGGGTAAATTAAGTTAGAATAACATGTTTATTACACCCCCCCATCCGTCTGGTATTCTTTGTGGGATAACTTTTGTGGACAGATTAGACACCAATTCATCCTTAAAGCCATTGAGCAAAATCCCTCAACCATAAAATGCATCGTTTCAAACCAGTCGGCTGGAGATGAAATACCTGCGACGACTCAGCGCCAGCGAAACCCAAACCCCGCAGAACCTCTGAACTCACCGGCCAGGCGAAGCTGAAGGGCAGCACCATGCTGGCCTCGTCGCCCTTGGCGTCCCGTAGAGAGAAGGTGTTCCCGCCGAGCACCGGCGTGGAGGCGGTGCCGAAGCTGCAGGGCCCGGCAGAGGACACCTTCAGCTGGTACTCCTTCAGGCACACCCGGAAGTAGGTGTCGCACTGGTCCGCCGCGCAGCGCCGGTCGGTGGCGTCCCGGGGGGCGTCGCAGCAGGCGCCGCTCTGCAGCCGCCCGTTCGCGTTCTGCATCGACAGGATCTGCAGCTCAAAGTGTCCCGTGGCTGAAGACACCTGCAGAGAGGAGGGGGAGGGAGGGGAGGGTGAGTTTCACAGCAGGAGGTCTGTACAGGTCCTCTTGGTTCCTAGAACCTGGAACCAACTCTGGACCTGGTTTTTGGTTTGCACGATGGAACCTGCAGTGCATTTAACATCCTGACATCCGAACATACTTGCAAGACACACATTGGAAAAAGAATGCTCCGTCATTTCCCAGAATGCATTTCCCATAATGCATACCTGGAGTTTCCCCCCACATTTATTGTCTTAAAGCCCAAGGTGAGGTGACCTAGATGACATCACTGTGACATAAGCAACATTTCCTTTTATGTTCCATTTTGGCCACAATACTCAAAATGTAGTAGCAGTAGGACAGTGAAGATTTGCAGCTTTGCTTTCTACGCTCTAAGAGGTCAAAAGATTTCCACCTGGATGCTTTTTCCTGACAAGCTTTCAACATCAGCTTTTACGCGTTTTCCCCTGGAAATGTGTACGAGACAGTTTGACTCCAGAAGACCAAAAAGATCACGCTGTCATTGAATCAGTGTGGTGTCACAGGGTTCAGGCTCTGCAGGAAACACTGAGCTCTGCATACTTTTACTTTTACGACTCCACTGCTCCCTGCAGGATCTCACACACAGAGACAACCGATGACAGCCAAGGAAAGGAAGGATTCTGACAAACAAAAACAACTCCATTCCATGTGATCCAAAGCTCCGTATGGAGCTATGGTCGATCCCATAAAAGAAAATCTAAAATAATTTTCCTTAAAAAATGTTAATAACAAATTTAATAAGCCTGATATCAGATCAGCATCCTTACGGTTTGTAAAATATCAATGTATCACCCTTGAAAGTCATTTTATGTCTAGTATTTTTTTTGTGAAAATATAAATTTTGTTATGTCAAATTATATAATCATTCCAAGGAAATGGTTGACATCTATTACTCCTCCAATATAACAACTTTAAAAAGTGGACCTTAAAAGCTGAACACCAGTCAGCTCACTTTTATCTAACAAACTACACCCAAACGTTGTGGAAAGTAATTGCTCAAATGCATAAAAATGTCAGAGCACAGATCCCCATAATATTCTCCGGAGGAGAAGAGGGGGAGATTTCCGCTGTTAATAAATTGAGACTTAAATAACCTAAATATCAGCGGGAGTCTGGTGTACCTGCACGCGGGCGGAGAGCAGCAGGAGCTGCAGGCTGACGGCCGCGGGGAGGAGGACGGAGCTCCGTGTGGGAGTCATGCCGGCGGGTGTGCTGCCGTCGAGCGGCTGTCGGGGCTCAGGGGTAGTCGGTGCGACCCTCCGCTGCGGGTGCACATGCACGGCTTTCCTTCCCGGACGGATCTCCTCAAAAGTCCGGTCAGAAAAAGAAAACAAGCAGATTCCGTCCCACTCCCGTCCTGCACGGGAAGCTTTTGTCCGCTATTGTCCCGTTTTTCTCCCCCTCGTTTTTATCGCGGCTCCAAAGCCGACGTGGATTGAACACATTGACCGACGGAGTGCAGCTGAAGCGCGGACAGCACTTTGCTGCACGCCGGAGGAGGCTGGGTAATATCCACCGACAAGGGGCGGGGCTGAGATCAGACCACGCCCACGCATGCATATGAATGAGACGCGGTTTGTTTACAGTCGGTTCACACGGAGGTGCAGAAGTGCCTTCACACATGGAGGTAAAAAAAAAAAGAAATTCCCAAAACTGACGTGAGAGGAGTTTAACGTCTGAATGGTAATTATAGATACAGAAGAAGAAAGCGAGGTCCTGCTGAAGATGACTGTTGATGGTGGTGTTCAAATACTGGGACAATTTCACACGTTTTCTGTAATGATGCTGCTAATTGTGGCTCTGAAGGGTCTAACAAAAATCACTAAAACCCAAATATTTGAGACTAAATCAACGCCTCAATTCAGAAATATACAGATCTTTAGCTTCTGGGAATATAATACCGTTTATGTTTTTTCCAAATTCAATGTGTGCAAACAATTCATTGCAAGTTTGAATGCATTACACTTTTTTTTATTTTATTTTTATATATAAATATATTTGTGTATGCAAACGTATTATCTTGGTTGCAAACTATTTTTTAAAAATGGAATGTTATGGGACTTCTACAACAATACATTTATGAAAAAATGTATAAAAAACAATTCCTTTTATTTTGAACAACGGTCCTGCTCTGGGTGAAGTGAACAGGTTTCAAAATAAAAGCCCACAGCAGTGGAACAAATCTCCCACAGATTCCTGCGGTTACTGTCAAAATAAGCACCTGATGATACGACCACCACGACATTCGTTCATCACAATCACCATCATCATCATCTTCATCATCATCTAACATCGATTCTATGAACACACCATAACACACCATATTTTTTATTTATATTTATTTATTTAAACAGTGTTTTGCTTGACTTTGACTTTTTAGGCTTCTCGTTTTTGTTTGAAACGTTCCTTTACTTCTACAGCAGTTTATTTTTAATGTATAAACCGTCATCGTCAAAATTGCTCAAACATTTTTCGGGGGTAAACGTGATGACTGTTTGAGCAGAGCAACCAAAGCGAGAGACAGGAAAAGATACAAAGATCATTGATATTTTTCCAACATTTTATTCATTCATTTACTTGAAAAGAAAGCAGAAACACACATACAGATATAGAAAACATATTCCTCATGGACAAAAATGCACACTGTAATAATATAAAGCATGAGAACAGAAGATCTGGAGCAAAATATCTAAATGTGCCAAACGTAGGGAGTGGAGGAATGAAAGGAGGCAGCAGTGGGGGTGGTGGGAGGAAGGGGGAGGTGCTGATGGGAGGAGGGGGAGGCGGTTGAGGTGGTTGATGTTTCTTCATGAAATAGAGCCTGAGCGACAGAACAAAGGTGGAGTCCTCTTTATTCCCAAATTAGAGCAGCTGGGCTCTTTTCCCTCGAGGAGCCCCATGAATAGATTATTGGACTGCTGTCACTGAAAGAGAGACAAAACATCCCCCCCGGACTCCCCCCCACCCTCCCTACCCCACCCTAACCACCAGCCCCAACCCCCTCTGCTACAACAATATTCAAACCTCCATCGAAATCCACAAAATCACAAGGACCTGATGGGGTTTTGTGGTCCAGGCGTTCCCGGGTCGGCATTCCTTGTGAACACGTTTCTGATTATTTATTCAAGCTCCGTCCCTGTGGTTCCTCGTGGCAGCGGAAGGATGCACAATAATCAAATTAATTCAAATTAAAAAATCTTTCCTCTCTGGCTCGGCTGGAATAGAAGTGAAAATGCTCCGTCTCGCTCTCTAAGTGAGCGTAGACGAGGAGCGCTCTGCCTCCCCAGATTAGAAACCACACGGGAACGTTGAAGGTTGCTAATCTGATCTGTGGCCGAGGGTCAGATTCCGTCAGCAGCGCTCCGACCAGCTCGGGTCCGACCTGCAGCAACCACCCGGAGCTGGGACTTTAAACTCTCCTCCCTCCTATCGGCGCCGAAAGTCTCTCACAGATTCGACTCCGAGGTCAAAATATTCAACGTTGGTATTTGTTTACTGTGCAGATTCTAACGTGAAGTTGAGGAAGTTCACGGCCTCCCCGGTCGGGACGGTATAGTCGCCGTGTTATAGGGCGAACCCACATTGCGGTGCGAACCCCGTGAACGAATAACCAGCTCTGCGAAGGCCGGCTCCTCCTTCTGTCTTTTGCCCGAAAAAGCTTCCCACACTCTCTGTCCTCCCAGCCGTCTCTGACCTCGAGGCCGCCGCCGCCGCCGCCGGCCGCTGGGAGGCACCGAGTGTTTCGACACAGACTCCTCGAAAAAAAAAAGCAACCACAGAGGTTCATCAGCGGTCAGCCGCTCGCCCCCCCCGCTGCTCCTCCGGGATGACTCGACGGATTGCACCGTCTAGATCAGACTCCTGCTCTTCCTCCCGATGGCTTCTGACCACGAGCTTCAGTTTATGCGCGCTGACGAAAGGTGCCCCGCATGGAGCATTGGACCCATGTACCCTTTGAAGGTTCCTTTAACCATTCAAACGATGAAAGCAACTCTGGAAAAAGGGACCGGATCATAGTCTGACATCTCTGATCAGGATCTTTGCTCCTTTTAAAGGACATTTTATTGGAGACAAGTCCCCGCGTGTCCACCTAAAGCTACGACTGTGAGCTTTGATTCCGTGACGATTCCATCGCGCCCAGCGGACCAGAACGGGAGTGTCACCTGGAACACGGGAGCCACTTTTCATGCAGCAGAAAAACGGGGGTTGGCGTTGTTAAACCGAGATGGCGAATCATCGACCACTTTGGTGAAGCTCAGGACGTCAGTGGAAACGTCCCGTGTCCTGCAGACGGAAGCGTCCCTCCCCTCTGCGCTCTGTTTGCTGGCAGATGCCTCGCTCTTCGCCGTTTGTTTGAAGGAGGTGCAAATTAGACGAAGCCGCTCTCTTTGCTTTGTGCACCGGAGCGGCTCAGTCAACAGCGGCTCACTCGATCGGCCGACTGAGCCCTTAAAACGACGAGGGGGGATTCATCGGGATGACAAGATGAAATAATGCAGACATTTTTAGAGCTAAATCAGGTGTGTTGTTGCCGGGAAACAATGGCGGGAACCTGAGTGGGTGTGAAGCAGCGAGAGCTAGCGTTGTAGGAGTCTGTCGTGTTGGAGCAGAGAGAGCGAGTAGCGTAGCGACGGGAAAGAGGAGGTGTTTTATTCCTCAGGGTTTTCACGTCCTCTTGTCTGAGACCAAAACAAGCTTTGATTGGCGGTACAACGGAATTGACGAGGCATAACACACCGTATGCACCAATTTGACCAATTCTTTTACAAAAAAACTCCACCCTTTAATTTTCATACACGTCAGAAAACGTTAATACAGCTTTCATTATTTTGAAATCCCGCGTGAACCGACCCAGAGAGCGGTTCAGATCAGCTGACTTTTGCGGTTCGATGCCGTCTCATCAAGAATTTTCTTGGCGGAGCTCCACTTTCGGCTATCGTTGGTTTTTCGAGGCCTTCCGCGTGGTCTCTCTCGCTGGCGTTCAGGTCGAGCGTATCTGTGTCGGCACGCGGCAAAGAAAACCCTTCCTCTTTCCTCATTGGGATCACCTAGTTTTACCACCAGCGGCAGCTGCTTGTTGTGTTGTAACATTGGCGCTTCATAAACCTTTTTACCTGCCACCTTTCACACCCGGCGAACCAGAGGAATTGGCCAAAGACAAGACGGCACTCACGACACCGCAGGTTATTCCTCTGCATTGTGTTCTGGTGTCTCTGAGCTTTGCTTTGGCGCGTGACGAAGATTGTCATTATGCAATTTCGACGGAAAGACGAACCCACAATCCCCGGCGGGGCTGTGGTTAGATTAAATGCGCTGAGCTGAACGTGACAGCTGGAAGAAGACCAGACTGCTCGGCTCACGGCTGCCAAGTGCTGGAACCAGTTCAGGACGCGTCAGTCCAATGTGGATGAGCACAGTTCAAACTCAATGTACAAACCCGGTCTGCACGGGAAAACCCGAAAAAAAAAACCACGACGACTAGACGGAGCATTAAGATATGTAATGTAATGTAATATGTGGAGTATTTACCACGTATTAACACATGCATCTTTTTTGCTGTTATTGAGTTTTGTAAGAAAGCAAAATGACACGTTTCACCATGTTCAAAGATGGTTTGGCGTTCAAAATAACGCGATGAATGACAACCGCACTCAGTGAACATTCTAATCTAACAATAAATAACCAGCGTGAGGCCCATGTTTAGTACAGAGGACACGAACAGCCGTCTCCCGGTTGTGTAATCAAAGTAATATTTGCCTCTCGCGGCCCCTTCGGTTGGGACAGCCCGGTGGAACCATTGTCTGGCGCTTCCTTCTACAAACCCTGACTACAAAATAACCTCCGTTTGGTTATAGAAAGAGGTATTTCTGCAACTGAAAAGCACGAAAGGCCATTGAAACATTTGGACATCTGATTGCACCCGACCGGGCTGCCAGGCAGGACATTCCAGAGTCCGTTCTTTTATGTTTGAGGAATCACAAAGCAGAAGGAATGCGGATTTTGACACGTTCCCAGAAGGGATACTGATTTTTGACTCTCATCCCTGACTGCCTCGGACGGGTGTGAGGGAAACGAACAACGGCGTCCTGACAGGAGTTTCAGGTGTGAACACGACAGCCTGCGCAGAGACATTTTTTAATCTCTGAACCAGAAGTAAAAGTGTCTTTGAGGCAACACAACCTGAACACACACACAGACACAGACACACCTTCCTGACTCTTGTATGTCGAAGATGAGTCGAGGGATAAAAATGTTGACTTAATAAAACGGGAGAAGCAAGCTTCTGTCCTCCCTAAGGATGCGTATCCTTCCCAGAATGCTCTGTGGCTGCGCACACAAACCCTCTCTCTGTGTCGGCGTTCCCACCGTCAGGAATCACATGACGGATGACTGCGTGGGACCCGGGCGCTGCAGACACTCTAACACAGGATTAACCTGGACACCACACAGACCGGCTCAGTGTTTCAAGTCTACGTCTGCTGCCAAGGTGCCCTTCGGC